TCACTTTCGTGGATAAAGCACCTTACTCCTAAACACCTAAAATTCGAGCTAATTCCTAACAAACATTAAAACAAAACAAATGAGCGAATAGAGCAGAAGAAGTGCTCACAAAAGATACACCAGTTGATATAAAACAATAGCGCGAGGAAGAATTTCAATTTGAAAAATTGCCATGGCTTATCGGTCGGCCAATTCGAAAAGAAACAGGGCAAACCTTTTTCGGCAACCTAAGGAGTGGAATGTTCAGAAGAGGTCATGAGTAAGTAGAGGGTACATCATTGATTGATTTCTCCCAGGGAAAATAAAGTTAGAGCTAGTTGTCGGTTTGGTCAATTTTTGTCGGCTGGACCTCCCATTTCGCAGGCCTAAAATTTGAAAACCTGGAACATAGTGGAAGAAGAACATAGCATCTTGTAGAGCAGACAATTCTCTTTCGAATGGTATATGACTCGATGTAAAAGCATGGGATTTAGATGAAAATTTTTTGGTTGAAAAAAAGCGACACTATTTATGAGACAACCTAATACTATGTGACAATTTGATGGATGTCACGTAGCTCTTCCTTGCTGTTTATTTAAGGTGCTAGTCGTTTTATCTCAAGGGCTTCCAGTATTTCCCTCGTCGCTTTACGGTCCTTAAGCAAAGGGTGCCTTCTAACGCTCGGCTTCTAATAAGGTTAGCTGGTTACGACTTCGTCTTGACTCATTTCCCCTCAGTTTTTCCTTCATGTAATCCAAAATGGTGCTTGAATGAATTTGTTTCAAAAATATGCTTTGATTTGCAGGCTCCGAAGAAGGCGATTGCGCCGAAACGTTAGCCGAATAAAGTTGATACCAATCTCGGTGGCTAAAGCAGAAGCAGAAGACAAAAGCGACACTATTCATGAGACAACCTAATATTATGCATTTTAAGCGTTGCATGGCATTCCTACTATTTAAGGGCGCGAGCGGGGTAGGTTATCCTAATTTTCGTTGGGTAAGTTTGGAAGCTTTACTGAGGCGAACGCGTGTGAGTTGTTTCAATATATCACGTATATTGTCCGGCTTGTGTGAGAAAAAGCTATTTCAGGCCTGACGAAGGTGCTAAGCACCGAAATATTGCAATAATTTTGGAAAGCTTTCGAAATTAAGTGTTTTGAAGCTTTTTGAAATAAATTTTGGAGCCTCAAACTGTTGTTTACATTTAAATTGCTATTTTGTTTATTTATTTATGGATAGTCCAGTAATTGCTGCTCGTCTTCGTCAGGCAGTCGTCGGCAACATTTCATTTTGGAGGAAAGTCTTTAATTGAGAGATAACACCCAAGAGAATTGAAACAGTAAGAAGTGCACCCATTTTTCTGGAACTTTAGTCTTCCCCGTCTTCTTACCGATTGTTCTTGTCAATCAAGTTGTAGCTGTTCATTGTGAGCACCTCTCGCTTCCGCCGCACAGCCAGAAGGACGCTTTTTCGTCGTAGCTTTTTCTTCACTGTTGATTTTTTCAACTTGTACCCTCTACCGCTCACAGGTCGTGAACCATAGGAGTTAAGATCGAGACGGATAACTGAAAAGGCACGATTAGGTGTATGGCTCGCCGGAGCCACTGTTATCGGGAGTGCCTGAGAGCACATCCGTAGGATCAACTACACTATTTTGCCGTGGTCTGGGATTTAGGGAACCAAGTTATGAGCTGCCTGGGGCCGGGTGCAGCAAGCCCACGAGCGGGGAGGGATCCCAAAGGTAGTCCCAGGGATCCTCCCTACCCAAGAGGGAAGAGGATCCCCAACTTGGGATACATCCACCTTGGTGTAATCCACTGGGGATACATCCAACTTGGGGGATAATCCCCACTTGGGATCCGGCTCTCGGGGGGGTGAGGGGAGGGATCCCAATTGGGGATGTATCGTCGCCCAACCTTGGGGAATGTCCCACCTTTGGGGATTATCCCTACTGGTGTCGTGGCGCAGCATCATCGTTTCGGTGGATCTGTGACGCAACCGTGCGGGACGGTCACTGCCGTCGACCCTCTGCGTCTCTGCAGGCAGGGGATACATCCCCCTAGTCGAGACTAGGGGGATTCGTCCCCTCACTTGGCGACGCGGAGAATTGAAGGCAGTTTCGGGTTTCTTCACCCTCTATTTCGCTTCGTTATTCGCATTTCTTTTTTCGCCATTACCTTGCCTTTGTTCATTCGCTGTTTTCTAAGCACTGTTCACAGTTTTAAAATTATCGAATATTCAAATTTGCGAAAAGAATCAGATACATATCAACATTAACCCTTTCGGCCCTGGCGGTGGCAATTGCCACCACCAAATTCAAACGCTTGCATTTCCGCTGAAACAGCATAGTTTTTCTAATTCTGCTAGAGTTTGCTTCAGTCAACCTTCCCCTTCCTAATTATGAGCTTAACCGGCCATTTCATTGTTTATTGCTGTTAGTATTGCAAGTATTTGTGTACAAGTGCAACAGTGAATGGGCGCTGACCCCCGCAACCGGCCAAGTAAGTGTGACTTTGTCTTAAAATACTTGAAGTGGATCCATTCCTAAATCAAAATTATGGGTTATAATATTATGCAAGATTATAAACTTTTTCGGCATAACTATGAAACTTCGAATTGTTTCGACATAAGCTTAAAAACTAAGAAGGTGGGCCAATTTTCAAAGCTTCTTAGTTTCTTTGTTTGTGATCGAATAGCTTCCAAATTTCGCCATAATGATACCTATATGCTCACAAGTAATAAACAATAGCTAGAAGAAAAATTTCTCCACGGGGAAAAATTCAGGTCCGAAAGGGTTAAGAATCTGCGCACGCGCGAAAGCAGATGCGAAAAGGATTAAATGCGTGTCGACATTGTAGAGCACGCTGTATTAGCGTTGCTGGAGGATTTTTGCACCGCCGTTTCGCGCTGTCGATCTCCGATTGACTCGGTCGATAGACACCCATTTCTTTTAAAGGATTCGCAGATTTTGCGCGATTCGATGCTCCTCCCATTTTGTAGATCGATACGCATTTCATTCATTTCGCATTTGCGCAGATTCGTTCGTTTTGAGCGTCATTCGGCTGTGGCGCAATGTGTGAACAGTGCCTAGGAAAGGCTCAATGTGCCTCTGCGAGAGGAGGGCGTGGCGCGGGATCCACCGCTCGTTGCGCTAAAAAAAGGAATTTTAGAAGTTCGGCGAAAATTGGCGGGGTATATTCTAGTTAGGGGGCATCACGATGCAGTTTGTTCAACGTGAGAAGGGAGAAGGCAGAGCTTGAGAAGGAAGACTGCTTAGACACTTCGGATTTCTCTTTCTCTAAGGGGTCAGTCCCAAACTGGAGCGTTTTTCCGTGATTGCACATTTCCGGGGCCACTGAGCAGAGAACACAGAATTCAAAAAAGTATGGGAAGCATTTGTAGAAAATGGTTACGTATGTGAAGAGGCGCTCAGCCTCAAGACAGTTTGCACTGTATTTGTAGAAGCACAGTGAGAGATGACGGTTCCTATGTGTGCCGTGCCATTGTATTTCGAAACTGCCATAGTGCTACGAAACATTAATGGTCCGTGAGCCTTCGAGATGCGGAAGCCCTGGGTCCTGCGACGAAACCCTTGAACGATTCGTAGAATGTCGAGGATGGGGATATTGTCCCAGGTTGGGGGGGGGCGGGCCGATGTATCCCCAAGGTTGGGGATGTATCCCCAAAGGTTGGGGATGTATCCCCAAGGTTGGGGATGTATCCCCAAGGTTGGGGATGTATCCCCAAGGTTGGGGATGTATCCCCAAGGTTGGGGATGTATCCCCAAGGTTGGGGATATATCCCCCAAGGTTGGGGATCCCTCCCTCTTTGGGTGAGGGGAGGGATCCCCAAGGTTGGGGATGTATCCCCAAGGTTGGGGATGTGTCCCCAAGGTTGGGGATGTATGTCCCCAAGGTTGGGGATCCCTCCCCTCGTTGGGGCTTGCTGCACCCGGCCCAGGTGATGTTCACTGACATTCCTGGGGTCGGGTGCGCGCCCAATAGGGGGGATTCCAGCACTTGGGATTTTCCCCAACCGGTGGGATATATGCCCGCAACCTTGGATCCTCCCTCGTTGGTGAGGGGAAGGGCATCCAAGGTTGGGGATGGGTCCCCAACCTTGGGGATATATCCCCAACCTTGGGGACATATCCCCAACCTTGGGGATATATCCCCTACTTCGTCGCAAGACCCATCGTTTTTCGGTGGCTCCTATGACGCAACCGTGCGGACGGTCACTGCCGTCGACCCTCTTTTTTTTTTTTTTTTGCCGTTTTTCCCGCACGGTTGCGTCACAGGAGCCACCGAAAAACGATGGGTCTTGCGACGAAGTAGGGGATATATCCCCAAGGTTGGGGATATATCCCCAAGGTTGGGGATATATCCCCAAGGTTGGGGATATCCCCAAGGTTGGGGATATATCCCCAAGGTTGGGGGATATATCCCCAAGGTTGGGGATATATCCCCAAGGTTGGGGATATATCCCCAAGGTTGGGGATATATCCCCAAGGTTGGGGATATATCCCCAAGGTTGGGGATATATCCCCAAGGTTGGGGATATCCCCAAGGTTGGGGATGTATCCCCAAGGTTGGGGATATATCCCCAAGGTTGGGGATCCCTCCCCTAGTTGGGGCTTGCTGCACCCGGCCCCTGGTGTAATTGGAGTGGAGACCCCTCCCACTAAATACGCCTACCTCGATTCTTCACTCGCTTCTTTCCGAGCAATTTCATCCAACGTATCCGTTTTGCTTCTTCTGCGCCCGCCTCCAAGAGGGTCGCGACGCATCTGGCATGTGACTGTACATCATCCGCATCTTTTGCACACTTGTAGTGCCGTTCTTTCTCCGCTGAAGACACTTTTGGTATTCTGAAACTCACTGATCAAAAAGGAAGCAAAAAATGACAGAAAATTTTGAGAACTGACTCTGGGGAAAGAATCGGCGAGATGCGATTACCGGGCATTTTGTTTAATACAGTTCGTTGCCTATAAGGTCACCTTGAAATATTGCATTCACGGAAGCAGCCAACTGGCTAATTTTTCCACTATCACCAAATGATTCCCCACTACGAATAACCCCTGTATCGCAATTTTGGTGGGAGCAGCTTTTTCTTCGAACTTTTTTGTAATTATTTTTCGATTTTTGCACCGTTTCATAATATAAGGTCACCCTGAGAAAAAGAACAATTACCTAAGATTAATGACAGATAAAGTAGACGTGGTAACATAAGGATCCTCCTTTATCAAGGGCATATCGACTACCGGAATTGAGATTCCAAGCAGATCACCAT